ATATATATCTGTATGTAGATAGATTTTTTTTTAATTGACTCACATTTTGATTTCAAGTGTACTGCTATATACAAGAAATAAAGGTCCATAGATTAGGAGAGCTTCTTGGAACTAATAATTGACAAAAATGATGGTGCTCTTTCATAGAGGGTATGGAACCTTTTTAATGAATTCAAAAGGGAACCAAGGCACTTATCTTTAAAAAAGTTGAAATGCCTTTAATATACTGGCAAATTCTACAGACAGAACATGATTAAAAAGTAATGTCGACAAGTTTCGGCATCTAGCTTTCTTCAGGATTTTACAGGAAAAAGCATGGTAAAGCAAACTTGACTAGTCAGAGGAAGTAATAGGTGAAATTATTTAATCAGACATAACTAGTCCACAGTAGTCAGTCACTTAGTCCCTCACTTTTTGAAAACCTAATGGAGACATCTCTATATTGAAAATATATTTTGAATAAATGTAGGAAATAATGAAACATCAAATTTTATACAGTACTGTGCAAGTCTTAGGCCACACTTAGTTTTGCTGTTTTAGCAAGGTTGTAATGATAATTTATAGTTATTTCTCAGTCTTTTCATTAAGATGTAACCAGAAAATACAGGGAATATGTACACAATATTTAAAAATATTTCAGAACAAACTACAGTCCAAAGTCAGTATTTAGCGTGACCTCTCTGAACTCTTTTGGGGAGACTGTCTCGAGGTCTTGAAACCATGACAGAACCTCCTCCATGTTTCACTGAAGGCTGCTACACAGATTTTTCCATGTCTGTCCAACTCTTCTTCTTCTCTTCTGGATTTGCTCCTTTCTTTTAAAGAAGAAACTCTGAGAAACTTTTCATCAGATTCTGATCATTTTCTTGGTCTTCCACTTCACTCTGTAACGTCTGAAGAACAGTACAGTCTTATGCAAAAGTTTAGGCACCCCTTGATAAATAACAGATTTTGGTGATTTTTTATTTGAACAGATGTTAACACAGTTTCTCTTGGAAATGGAAAAAATGCACAATATTTTCTGCAAACAGTGATGCATAGTTACTTCTTATGCCATAAATTGAACAAAAATAAAAAATAAAAACATGATTATGGCATGGTGCAAAAGTTTGGGCACCCTAAGAGTTCCAGAGTCTCAAAGTCTCTCACAAGGTATCAGACCTTAATCAGCTCGTTAGATCTGATGCACAGCAACAGCTGTCATTGGTAAATGCCAATTTCAAAGCTGTACAAATACTTTGACTCTTCAAACCTTGTGCACACACTTGTGGACACCCAGCAACCATGGGTTCCTCTAAGCAGCTGTGTAAGACCCTGAAAATGAAAGTTATTGATGCCCACAATGCAGGAGAAGGCTACAAGAAGATAGCAAAGCGTTGTCAGCTTGCAGTTTCCACAGTAAGAAATGTAATTAAGAGATGGCAGATCAGGGGAACTGTGGAGGTCAAGATGAGATCTGGAAGACCAAGAAAACTCTCGGACAGAACTGCTCGTATGCTGGTCAGAAAGACAAATCAAAACCCCCATTTGACTGCAAAAAACCTGCAGGAAGATTTAGCAGACTCAGGAGTGGTGGTGCACCGTTCCACTGTGCAGCGATGCTTGCACAGACAAGGCCTTCATGGAAGAGTCAGCAGAAGAAAACCTTATCTGCGTCCCCATCATAAAATCCAACGTCTGAAGTATGCAACAGGACATCTACAGAAGCCCGATGCGTTTTGGAAACAAGTGCTGTGGACTGATGAAGTTAAAATAGAACTCTTTGGACACAATCAGCAAAGGCATGTTTGGAGAAAAAAAGGAGCAGCATTTCATGAAAAGAACACCTTGCCAACTATTAAGCATGGGGGTGGATCTATCATGCTCTGGGGTTGTGTTGCAGCCAGTGGCACAGGAAACATTGCACGGGTGGAGGGACGAATGGATTCCACTAAATACCAGCAAATTCTGGAAGCAAACATCACACCATCTGTAAAAAAGCTGAAGCTGAAAAGAGGATGGCTTCTACAACAGGACAATGATCCTAAACATACCTCGAA